TTTTTTAAAAATTTGGGTGCAGGCGAAAATCTGGCCGTGGCCGGTTCTTGGGAATAATTAAACGTACCCCCCCCCCCCCCCCCCCCCCAAAAAGAGGGGAGAACTTTGTGTCGACGGACGCCCTGCTGTGAATTTGATTGACACGAGATGTCTTGCTTCCTCATCTCCGAGATGTCGTCAAGTCTGTTCACTTCCAACGTTGGAGGGAGCGGGAGACATCACGGCTCTTATACATCTAAAACTCCGTTATAAAACTCCGTGTATACATCCCGGCAATTTTCTTCAACTCGCTCTTTTATCTCAAAATCTTACATCATGAGCAAAAAAAAACTCCTCTCCTGAACACTTACAACACAGGGTATTGCCTCAACCACAAGAGCCTCAACCCTCGACACGATCCTCTCATCCCACACATCGCCAAACTAAACAGTCCTCCCATAATTACTCGACGGGAAATTAGGCGACAATAATTCGCCGGCATGTCTCTTTTAGGCAGATCCGCTCCCCACAACTCCAGCCACGACCACTTACTCCAATCCCACAATCCAGCCGTGCTCCCACCCCCTCATCAAGCCACACCAATCCTCCGCTTGGGGGCTTCTCCAAAAAGATTATAGCCTAATAGCTTCTCTCTCTCTCTCTTCTCGTCTGATGTTAAGTTTCTCATTCTCAATCTCATCGTGAAAAGGGTAACATCTGGTCTCTCTCACTCACCTCTGTAATCTCAACCCTCCCCCCCCTGTATCAGTCCATCCCATCCCCAAACCATCATGACCCTCACCAACCCTCCCCCAACCCTCACCATCTCCCTCCCCCAAATCGCCCAGCTCATCGACCACTCCCTCCTCCACCCCACCCTCTCCGACGCCGACCTCCGCGCCGGCCTCCTCCTCGCCCGGTCCTCCTCCGTCGCCTCCGCCTGCGTCAAGCCCTACGCCGTGCCCCTCGCCCGCGCCCTCCTCGCCGGCTCCCCCGTCCGCGTCTGCACCGTCGTCGGCTTCCCCCACGGCTCCTCCTCCGCCTCCGTCAAAATCACAGAGGCCGCCGAGGCCGTCTCCTCGGGCGCCACCGAGATCGACATGGTCGTCAACGTCGGCAAGGCCCTCGGCGGCGACTGGGCCTACGTCGAGCACGAGGTCGAGGCCGTCAACCGCCTCGTCACCGCAAAGGGCGCCATCCTCAAGGTCATTTTCGAAAACGACTTTTTGCAAGACGACCACATCGTCCGGCTTTGTCAAATCTGCACCGACTTGGGCGTGGCTTTCGTCAAAACCAGCACGGGCTATGGCTTCGTCAAGCAGCCCAACGGGTTTTATAGCTACCGCGGCGCTACGCCCCATCACCTCAAGCTCATGAGGAAACATGCCGGCCCAAAGGTGCAGATCAAGGCCGCGGGCGGCGTCAGAACTCTGGATGAGCTCATCTATGTCGTGTCGCTGGGAGTAACGAGAATCGGTGCCAGCGCTACCGAGGCAATCCTGGAAGAGGCCAGGGCGAGAGGCATCGGTGAGGCTGAAGTTGAAGTTGAAGTCAAGGTCCCTTCAAGTCTGCAGGATGGAACATATTGATGCCCATCGGCTAGTTGTGAGCGCTGAGTTAAAGTTGACAAGTATCCGAGTAGAGAAACATAATTATCTATTAAAAAAAGAGTAAAACAGCACCGGGCGCAGCTCCGCATGATATGTATGCAAGACTTTCATATTCCTTTTAGCTTCTTCTTTTCTCTTCCCCTTTCCTGTCTCTTCTCAGCCGTCATCACAGCTGAAGAAACTCAAGAGATACCCAAAAAAGGATGGGAAAGGGCTTACAAAAAAGTGGTAAAAAGATGTCGAGATTGTTAAAAAAAAAAAAAAAAAAAAAAAAAAAGCATCGCTCAGCCAAAACATCAAGCCGCTAATAGCCTCAAGTCCTGTTCTCGATCCCCATGTATCCCTAACAAAAACAACATCATGTCCGTACACCGATCCTCTCTACTCTCCAGGCATAACAGGTATTTGTAATGTACAAACAAAAGATACGCTCTCGTTAAAAATAAAGATATGGGGTGGTCGTGTAATAAAAAAAAGTTTTAAATAAAATGCTCACGGCGCCCAGCTCGACGCCATTGTTATTCGAAATTCCATTTTTCGCTTCATCGCCTCCCTTCTTCTTTCTTCGCAGACCCAAATACTTTTTTTTACTCGGTATCTTGGTTTGCGCGCCTCACCTTCTCTCTCAAATCTCTGTTTTCAGTTTCCAAGCCGCCGAGTCGCTGCCTTGCCGCCTGCCTGTCCTGGTTGCGCCCTTCTCGCTCCATCTTCAGCTTGTACTCCATATCCCGGAGCCTGAGTAGCCAGCGATTGTCGTTGTTGCTAACCGACCCGTCGGGATTTGTCGCATCCATGAGGCCGAGCCCAGCCCTTGACGACGATACTGGAATGCCAGAAGCGGACGGAGCACGCACGGCAGATGAAGCCCTGCTCTTGGAAGGACGGTCGCCAGCTCCACGGGGACCCGACGGCGAACCGGCACTGGCCTCGGAACCTCCTCCGGGAATCTGGTGAGCCGCGCGAGCACGAACATCATTAGCAGTTCTCAGCGTGGCATTTTCCACTTTCAGCTGGCGATATGCCTCTTCAAGGCGTAGCATCCGGTTCGAGGCCTCGTGAGAGCCCAGAGACCCGGTGGCAACGGAGTTGCGGACCATGGTCTCTAACCGATCAAGCTTCTTGATTCGCACATCCAGGTTGTTCTCAAGAGCCTGGTACTCGCGATAGAGATCCTTCTCGACCGACTTGATCTTTGTCTGCAGCGCCGCGAACATGCCCTCAATGGTCTTAACAGCGGACAAGAGATTCTTGGTAAATCCCGGCAGGCGACTCGCGATGACCTCGAGCGTCGGCACAACTTGTCGGTCCACGAGTGTGTTGTTGTTGGCCCACTCTCGGCCGCAGAGCGTGCTCAGCTTGTGCCACAGAAGAAGTAGCAGCTCGTTCCTCTCCAGCAGCTGCTCGCGGGCAGTCTGCTCCAGCACGGCAAGCTTCCGGCGATCCTGGCCTCTCGTAGCTTCCAGTTCGCTAATGCGGACATCTTGCGTGCTGGCCGTTCGAGTGAGATGCTGGTGCGTCTTCTGGAACGATTCGAATTGAGACTTGGTGTTGCGGTGGGCAACCCGCTCCTTTTCAAGTAGCTCGGTGATTTTGCGAGTTTCCAGGGCGTGCGACTCCAATAGTGAATCGCGCTGCTTAATGATTCGGTCCTTCTCGACCAATGCCGCCTTAGACGTGTCAAGTTCACGAACAGTGTTCTCAAGCTCACGCTGCATCCGTGCAATAGACTGCAGAAGTAGCTTCACGTTAGTACAAGAACAAAATAGAAGAGAGAGAGAAGTGGCATCTTTGTACCTTTAGCAACGAAGAGCGGGTGCCGTTCAGGTCACCCAAAGCTTCCCTCAAGTTATTCTCCAGCTCCAGCAACCTCTCTTTCCACTCGGTCGCCTCAACCTCGCGAGATGACAAGCTTTTACGCAGCCGCTTGACCTCATCCTTGGCGCTGGCATTCTCTCGCTGAAGGTTGGCAAATATCTGCTGGACATCGGCATCCTTCTTGGTGGTGACGTCCTCCCATTGGGCGCGCTCCTCTTGCATCCGGTTATCCAGCTCCTTGACTCGCTCCTTTTCATCCTCCAAGCTTCTCTCCACGTTAGAAAGGGCGGCCTCTAGATCACCGATGCGAATCTTGTCCGCCTCCTGCTCTTCCCGAAGGAACGAAATCTCGCCCTGGGATGACTCCTGTTGGACGGAAAGGCGTTGGTTCTTTTCGTTGGATTCCAGTAGCTTCTGCTCCAACTCCTCCAGCTCCTTGTTGGAAGATTCTTGCTCCTGCTCCAGGTGTTGGATGCGGTGTGTCTGGTTAGCCTGTTCCTCTTCAAGCTGCTGAATGTGCTGGAGCTTGTGCTCCTGCTCGTCTTCGAGGCCAAGAAGGGCTTCGCTCATCTGTCGCATCTCCTTCTGCAAGCTCTCAAAGTTTTCAGATCTGTCGCTCAGATCAGCCTGCAGCCGCTGAACTTCCGCCTCCAGCGCGTCAATCTCCGCCTGAGCCTCACTACGAAGGTCCTCAAAGTTGGCCTCCATTTCACCATGCTCTCTCAATGCTTCGTCGCGCTCTGACTGCAGGGCTATCAGGTCGTTGGTTGCGTTGTCGAGTTCTTCCTGCATACTCATGAGGGCCTCGTCCGCCTCACGCTTCTGGTTAATAGCAAGCTCAAAGTCGGCCATGCAGCTCTCCAATTCCCGCTGCAGGTCCTGGTTCTGCAGCTTCACCTCGCTGACCTTGTCGCGCAGCTCGGCCATTTTATTTTCCATTTCCTCGCGCTCCGCCTCGTCCTCCGCCGTCAGCTGCCTGGTCCGAACACTATTTCTCGAGCTCGGTCTGTCAAGGGCGCCTGCGCGAGATGCAGACCGCTCCAAGAGGCTGTCGATAGTGGAGGGAGCAGGACCGCCACGTCGCTGAGCCATCTTGAGATCCTCAATTTCCTGGTACAGGCGTTCCTTTTCGCGATTTCTAGAAGTCAGCATGGAGGTCTGAGCCCCAACCTCACGGCGAAGTTCAGCATTCTCGTGGCGCAGCTGCTCGCTCTCCCGCCGCAGTTCGTCGACCAAGGTACTGGCCGCACTGAAGTTGGCGTGGGAGCCATCGGCATCGCCAGACACGCTGGACATGGGTCTGCCCGGTGAAGCACCTCGGTCTCGCGGTTTCTTGGTAATATTGTAAATGTTGGTCGTGTGATGCAGCATGCCCGAACCAGCGCCAGACATCTCCTTCTTGAGCCGGAAAACTTCATCTCGCAGTTTCCTGTTGTCCTCATCCGACTGCTCTCTGCGCGCAGTCTCCTGTTCCAGCAAGTCCTTCCAGACGTCTGCTTCCTCCTGGCGGCCGAAAGCGTCTCCTCCAGACCGCTCGCCGAGCGTCTTGACAATATCCGACAGTTTCTTCTTCTCCGACTCCCTATCCTGAGTCTCGCTCCGGAGTCTTTCAATCTCAGTGGCGTACGTTTCGACGCGTTCTCGTAAGAACATGAGCTCCTCTTCCCGTTCTTGAGCCTCCTCGTTGTACATCTTGGCGGTTTGGTCCGTCGAAGAGGCACCGCTGCGGGCAGTGCTCGGTCTCTCTTCATCTTCCTTCTCCTTCTTTTCTAATTCCTTGACTCGTTTCCGCAAAATCTTGTTGTCTCGCGTCGTTATGGCGAGATTCGTTCTCAGCTCAACGTTCTCGGATATCATCTCCTTAAGACCTTCTTCCGACAAGGTGTCGAGCCTTTTGCTCAAGAACATGACTTTGAGTTTCAGGTCAAAATTTTCTTTAGAGAGTCTCTCAATGGTACTGCTCTGCTCCTTTAGCGTCCAGGTCTTGCCGGCACCTTTGCCCGTGACCTTGGAGCTGTTGATCGCGGTGGCGGTAGAGCCAGACAGTCGTGGGGTTTGTAGGCCATTTTGAAATTTGAACTCTTTCGCAACCGAATCCGGGACGTGGACGTTCTTAACGTGCTGGGCTATGACGGTATCCGTAGGAGCTGTGCTCATGCTATCTTTGGCCTTTGGTGTCACCATCTTGTAGTTGCTCTCTCTTCCTCGGGTAGGAGTGTCAACCTCGGCCAGCGGTTCCAGCTGGCGCGTATTGTCGCCAAACTCATCAGTACCGAGACCAGAGGTCATGCTGCCCATGCTTATAGTTCGCAACAAATTGGAGGGAGATCGCGACATGCCCGTATTCGGTACCGCTCCGCCGGAATGCAGCGCATAGTCGAGCCCCAACCCTACAGTGCCCACAGTGGCATCGCTGTCTTCCTGCGATTCGGGATTGGTCACGAAGGACGAGGTCGAGGATCGCTGGCTGCTGAAGCGGCCACTGCGTACATACTTGGGGCGCTTGTTGCGCAGGGCAAGCCCGGCAGGGCCACCCGGAAAGGAGGAAGCATCATGGCCCTCGGTGCTAAACACAAGGGAATCGTCCTGTCCGAATCTGTCGTTCTCTTGTTGTGGGACCTTGGGAGTGTTCTGTTTGCTCGTGCTACGAGAGATGGAACGAGCAGCCGCCGCTGCTGCAGGCGAGGAGTCAAACCTCTCTAGACTTGACGTGGTGTTGCTCGCTCTGGTCAAATCATCTTCAGACTCCGGATTGAACTCAAACTCCTGTGTATACTCAGGTCTCGATTTGTAGCTCGACTCGTATCTCGACTGGGGCTTGGACTGCGACGACCCGGGCCGGGCAGAGCTCCTGGAAGGCTGCGCAGACCGTTTGGCGGGCGAGTCGAAGACAAAGCTGTCATCGGCGGTCGCCCCAGCACCCGCAGAGCCGGTAGGGATTGGCGACAACGACGGGAGAAAGCTCGATTCCATATCCGTAAGATGTTCTCTGACTGCGTCCTCCGAAATGGTGCCGTCCGGGTTCAACGTCGGCTCCAAAGCGGTCGTCTCGAAATAGCTGAGGTCTCCTTGGCCCGCAGGCGAACCCCCGCCAGCTTTGGGCCGAGAGGAAGCTTGCGCCGACGCTGGGGAGAGTTTACTGCTCGGATTAGGGGGGATCGTAGCATGCTTGGGAGGCGCCGGCGCATTCTCCTGCTGGTCGGATCGCGAGCGCGCGCTCATCGTCGTCGGGTCTGCTGTCTGGCCATTGTCGGTTGGGACGCGCCGGGAGGTGGAGGGGAGCGATTCAGGCTCCTGGGCGGTGTTCTCATCCACGCCAGCCATGGTGCATCTTGCGGCTTTGGTTCTGTCTCGGCCAGGGCTTGGGAGAGTCGCGAGGGAGGCGAGATGCTAGCAGAAGAACTAGCAAACAACAACGTGGTGAGCAGGAGGCGAGCGAGTAGGGAGAACGGCCAAGTTTGCCAGCTTGATGCGAGCTCAACTCAAATGCATCCAACGGCCTGATCAAGCAGAAAAGGTCCCCAAGGGCAAGATGGCCTGCAGCTCCAGTGCTTGCACGCGCTAAGGCCGCGGGAACCAGTGGAATTCTAGAGCGAATTAGGGGGCTGTCAGGGGGGGCCCCGCATGGCTTTAAACAGGCGGTAAGTCATCCATCAAATCTAAAAGGCAAATTCATCATATTTGAATGCTGGTTTCTGTCACTTTTAGACTTGGGGTTGGCATCAAATTTCCTCATGATAGTTGAGCAGAATGCGTCGCCGATTGCCCTCATCACAGTGGTTCAGTATTTTCAGGCGGAAAAAAAAATGGTATTATCAAAATGGCGGGAGGGAGAAGAGAACAATGAGAGAATAAGAAAACAAAAATAAACGTTCATGCCAGTTAAAAGCCATGCTGGATTGGTAGTGCAACATAATTCCCCCAAGTCCTGCCACTCTCTTAACCAGGTATCAATTTTCAAATCGCCTGTCGTCCGCCAATTTTCGTTACAAACGGACCTTCACCGTAATTTACTTGCCGATATGGAGAAGCGTAAAACGACTTCCACGCCAAACGCCGCAGGCCTATCCAAGTCCCAAACTGTTCCAACTCATGCATCGTCACACTCGATTATTGCGAGAAAAAGGTAAATGAAAGAAAATCAAAAGATGGGGGGAGGAGAAGAGGGGAGGGCGGAGAAGAAAGAAGAAGAAAGAAAAGAGTCATTACCACCACCAGTTCCATGTCTTCTCCAGTGACGGGTTCTTCAGGACATCGTCCACCCATCCCAGACTATCTCTCTTATCGTCGAGCAATCGAGCATATTCATACAGCAGCCGCAACACATAGATCTGCATGTCTTCTTTGCGCAGCACCAGATCGGCCCACTCCTTGCCCTCGGTGGCTATCTTCTCTGCCACGTGGTCGTGGCTGTTGCGTCCCCCGTACCCGAGGAAGTACTCCATGATGCCGTAGTAATCGATGAAGCGGCTGTCCATGGGAACAAAGTGCTTCCATGCAACCAGGCGGCTATCGTGCCACTCATGCCAGACAGTAGCCTTGATAGGGAGGGAGGTGGATCGCAGGAAGCCAAGGTAACGGCCAGAGAAAGAGTTTCCATCAATGTCTGGGATGTACTTGGAATCGAATTGTTCCGCCATCTTCATTCCTTTAGTTGGCTTGAAATAGTGGCTCGTGTAGTTGCACTTTCCGTTTTGCGGGGGCGTGCAGCTGAGGTCCGTGAAGCTGATGTTGGCCCATTGATCGATCCACTCGCCCAGCTTGCCATCTTTCTGTGCCTGTAGGTTGTATTCCTCGCCCGGCAATGCAAAGTTATCTGCCTTTTCTCCATGCTCCACTCGCGAAACTGTGGTGCCATTGTTCATGGCGACAAATCTATGGCGCTGGAACCCTCGCCAATTGTGTACGGTATTCTGACCTCCGGTCGCGACACCGCGCCAGATGGCCTTGTTCTCCTTGTCCTCCCAGGAAACGCCGTGGTTGTCTCCACCAGTGAAGCGCTCCTCCTCGTTCCAATACATGGGTGCAGGTAGTAAAATCTCGTTGTTGACTCCCAATTTAGAGCCACCAAACATGGGGAACAAGACCTTGGAGGCAGAAGTAGAGATCGGCTCGATAAAGATACCCTCCAAGGCTTGCAGGTCCGGCTGATGGCAAATTTCGGTGGACATTGAAAAGTTGGAGACGAAGCCCTTGTACATGTGGGGTTCGGCATATGACGAGTTAATGGCGGGCGTTTTATCTGCGGTTTTGATGAGATCTTCCACTCGAGCCAGGCTGTCAGGGGGGCAGCCGCGTCGAGCAATGGCCCAGTAAGGCTCTGCATTGAGGAGAGATGTCAATAAATCCATCGAGTAAAAGCAGAGAGGGGGGAGGGAAACCATGTATCAGTCACAGAATCCCAAGAAAACAACCTACTTGTTTTTTCCCAGTTCTTGGCGCGCGTTTTGACTTCGACGTCGCCGGTACCTGGGCGAGGCAGCTTTTGAAACTCGCTGATGACGTTCTTGGACTTGGGCATCTTGATCGTCTTGGATGCGTTCTTCATGTAACCGGCCATGTCCTCCCACGGAACAACCAGCCTGGGCTCGTCCATGGCGTTGAGTGCAATGTCCATATCTGGCAGCAAGTGGTCGATTGTCTTAATCATTTTGAGCCAAATCTTGGTCCAGAAGAAGTCGCTTCGCGCAGTGGCGTTGCCGTCACGGATGTTGATTGTCATTTCAAAATCCCACGCCTCTTTGCGGATGACAGCCGGGTCAAGACCCCAGAAGGGCTGGAGGTCCTGGTAGATGCGGTCGAAGAAATCCTCAACAATGACCGCATTCTTGGAGCGAGCAAACTCGAACCACTTGTCGAAGCCGGGGGGAGGGTGGCGGCCACGGCGCTTGCGATAGGCCTGGGCAGCCTCTTCCACCGTCTTGGATTCCTTCGAAGTCAGCTCGGCAAACGTCATCTGGGCATCGTATACGAGCTTGTCAATGGGGTGGCCGCCGGCGGTGGGCGGAGGGCCGAGCGGAGGAAGAGATTTGTGGATGGGCTCCTGGTTAGCAGAGTCTGGCTTGGCGGTTCCCTGGGACGCTGGCGCCGTCGCGATGGGTGCCTTTGCGCCTCCTGGGACGACAGGAGCCTCGTTGCCGGCGGGATTTGAATTGGGGGGTTGCAATGGTTTGCCTGGCGCGGCCTGGCCTATTGGTAAAGGTTGCGGTATGCGGGAGATGTCTGATGAGCTGTGGCTGAAGGTGTACAAGGCCAGCAGCAGAATGGCCGCCAAGACGCCGTACCGCACAAGGCCGGACGACCGCCGCATCGGAAAGCCGGGCGACAGCATCTTCATGATGGGCGTCTGGCTGGGAGAGGATGCGATGCTCTACTAGTACTTTTTCGTAACGTTATGAAGAATCCTCAAGGCAGAGACGCGGCGTCGGAGGATCGCTAGGAGATGAAATGAAGGTTTGGCCGCGCGTGCTTGCGCTGCTGCGGCTGGCGCTGGGCCTAAAGCTGGATGACGGAGGGGCAGAATATCCAAGAGTAAAAATGGACGTCTCAACGCATCCGGGCGTGCCAAGAAGCGCGCAAGACCAGGAGGCTGCTTCGAGAGATTGATAACGAGCGACTGGTCCTGAACTCTGGACTGGACTGGACTCTGTCTCCGGTCAACAGGGAGAGAGGACTGGAGAAGAGAAGGTCGAAGTTTCGAGTCGAGTCGAGTCAAGTCAAGCCTAGGGCACAGGCACAGCACGGCAAGGCAAGGCAAGGCAAGGCAAGGCGTTTGGCGGGTTCGGGTTCGGTTCGGGGGCGCGCTGGAGTCGCTACAGCCGCCGCATCATCATCCAACCTGCAGGATCAGCCCAAGACAGCGAAGAGATTGAAGAGGCAGAAGTCTAATTTCGCAGAGATGCCCGGAGACGGGCAAATTACGCTGGGCAGACGCTTGCGGCAAGATTGGCCACATCGCCCATTGATTCGCCAAACCCGCTCTGTGCCATTTCGCAGCGAGCTAAAGCCGGTGCCAAGGCGACCCATAGCGCTCTCTGTAACCCCTGACATGATTACGCTCGCTAGTGGTTGCGCTGGGCCTTTGGGGTGGCACCAGCGTCTTCAGCGCCATTGGATTAGGGCGATTCAAACCTCGAGGCGCGATAAGGCTGCCCTGCCCGCAAATAGCCTAACCGAGCGCCGCTGCTAATGAAACACGGGCGATTGATTTGATCAATGGATCACTGTTTTCGATCAAATCGATTGATGGGCATGCACTGCACTGCACCTCCGTAATAGGTACATCAATATGTACCGTACTGTAAGCATTCAAAGGTTGACTTTGATCCATGTCAGCCGCAAATATCCATTCGATAATACCTCCATGTACTGCAGCTACTGCTAGCGGTAGAGAATCAATACCTTAGTAGCACAGCATGGACAAGAGAATAATACAGTGCAAGTACCAGAGCAACTCATGTGCCTGCAGGACAAGCTAATACCGGAACTCTCTCCCTTGCTTCAAACCCTCGCTCCCGTCCAGCAGCATGCATGTCTCTGTTTCTCATCACACCAGAACTGCTTCCCGACCAAATCAAATCAATTCTTCTTCTTTTTTTCTTTCGTTGACCTGCGGGCTAGTAAAGAAGCCATGGAGAAGAAGAGTTGAGGGCTTCTGAAAATGACCCGAATCAGAACCACGCATCCATCCCATCCCATCCCATCCTTCCACCTTGACAGTCCTGCTGCGAATCCTGTACACGTACAGCACTCGCTAATGAGCTGACGATCCCTCCTCCTCTTCTGCTGCTCCGTAGCCCCAGCTCAATTATTCTCAGCTCCACTCTGCGTGGCCCCGGCCGTTGTCGCGACATGCTTGCACTTGCACCATACCTGTACCATCCATTGCAAAAGAAAATCCTCGAGAAATTTTAGCGGGTTGTGCGGCGAGCACGCAACCTCCAATGACATGGGCCAGGACTGCAAAGACTGGACCACAACCACGCAGGCGAGAAGGGCAAAAAACGCCTCCAATAAGCAGTCGGAACCACACACTCAATCGCGTCCGTCCATCCGTGCCGTTACGAGTCCAGGTCCTGGATCACTCATACGAAACTCGTACAGCACTGCACTTGTGCCCCCGCCTGGTACGAGGATGAGTACATAGGGCAGACGGAAAGTTTTCTGGCTTCATGTTACCTCGCGTTGCTCTCTCCCGATTGCCGCCATCCGCTAAGCTCCAGGCCATGTTTTTCCTTGCAAGGAGCTCCTTGTACGAGTATCCGTGTGCGATACCATCGCCAGCGGTGATTCGCACTCGTACTATTTCATTCCCCACCCTTTCGCCCCATGTATTCCAGGTTTTTTTTTTCCCTCTCTCTCTCTCTTCTCGCAATGGGGACACTTGCCGTAAGCCCAGTTCGTGGGTTTTTCCTCAACCAGCAACCGGCATGCACAAGTCAACCAACCTACGTCAAGTGACGTCCCTTTAGCGACCAGCTTCCGCCAACCACGGAGATGCCCACACTTTGGCCATGTGTTTTCCCCAGGTCTGTGAGGTGGCGCAGCACCTCTTCTCAAGATAAGAAAGGAATAAGCTCTCTGCAAGACAGATCCGACGCTACTTTCGTTACACAAGCCCTGACTTGACTGCCCGGCTGCTGGTAGCGTGTAGTACTGCCGAGTGGGTTATGTAGCATTCGAGAGGGTCACGGTTGCGGCGCTTGATTGGGATGCCGGGTGCCTAAAGAGGGACGGGCTCGAGCTATTGATTGAAGGATTTCAATTACATGTGCTTAGTCCCAGCGGTCTCCGATAGAGGGCCCATGTAATTTCGCCTTGTCGACGCTGTCATGTGCGTTTTTCCGATTGGCGACGGGTCCTGCTATGAGGTCAGGATCGTCGGGGGCTGCTACTCTGGAAAGCCAAACAGATGCTCTCTGTGACACTCCAGGTACGACTTCACATGCCATCGCTCAAAGTTCTCTTCGTTGGCCTACAGCGAGAAGCGATGGCTCAGCATCACCAATGTGTTGCGTTATCACTCTTGGACAACGTATTAATAGTACATACCTACTTAGTAGGATAGAGACGTGCGTTTATCTATCTAAATAAACATCCAATTGATCACGACAGCTATTGAGATGCATATAAGCCACGTAGGTTCACGGCCAACTTACGTGCTAGGATAGGTAATCATCAAAAAGCAACAGCACATGGAATCCCGAGACCAATACGAGCGGCGCTACTCCGCACTACTCCGCATCAGCAGCAATTGATTTTGATGATTTTTTTAATAATATGCCCGAATCTCTCTTATAAGCACCCCTCGAAGACAATTAACCAGTACTCAACACTTATGGACAGGCCGTTTTCTCGGTTTCCCATTACCCTACAGCTTGAGGTATTTTTTATTTGCCTCACCTGTAATCAACGCTGGAGTCTAGGTCGTAAAGTCATGATGTGATGATTCGATCATCAGGAGTTCCATTCCGATTGAAGATCAGACCCGCCCTTGGCTGTCACCAAGGCTTTCAATTTATTCACCACCATGTGTTTGAGGTTCATATTGAATATGAAATTGGGACTGTAAATGTAAAGTCCGGCTGCTAACTTGCGCTCGAATTATAACGGTATCACGCTAACCTTTTATGGACATTCCGCATTGCCATACCCAGCGACCTCGTCTTACACAGGAATAGCTGTGACCATCTTGTGATACGTGCCAAAGGTCATCAAGGTGCCTTCAGCCAGTCGACAGTTGGCTCATGGCTTCATTTGTGCAAAGGGCATTTGGCCACTCCTGCCCCCTTATCACCTCATCTTCTTCCATCATGACAATATACGAGTATCCGCTTCTCTTCTGACCTGCGCGCTTGTCTATTTTACTCATCGCTCCTTGAAACTCCACGATGACACCCGCCCGCAATAGCAATGTCCAGTTGCTAGCAGTACTTGTCGATTGGGATGACGAGGAAGAGGGGGAATACCGCTTCCTGGTCGACGGCAAGGACACAAAATATGTTACCGTCGACCTTGGTGTATTACCAAAAGACAATCGGACCTTTGGCCCGGTATTAATTCCGCTACTACCACCATTTCCTCCTGGTGATTGGAACGAGGGCCACGTCTCCAAGGATCCTCTGAGTGGGCAGCCAGTCTTCTCCCGTTACACGCGCAGCGACTTGCCTGAAATTTCAAATACCTGGCACCACATGCGCATCGATCATCTAGAGTTCAAGCAGCTCTGTCAACTACGACAGAACATTCACGTGGTTACGCATTCGCTTTTTGGCCAACCCCTGGTTGTCAAGTTTGCCGAGTTTCCTTGGCAAATGCCCTACTTCGAGGCCGAAACAACAGCGTATGAATGGCTTGATAGCCATGGAATCGGTCCAAAATTCATCGCTCATTTGACCGAGGCTGGGAGGGTCTTTGGCTTCGTTACGGAGTACATTGACGGCGCAAGATTCGCTGACATCGGAGACCTGGCGGCCTGCCAAGAAATCCTCTCTCGGCTACACTCTCTAGGTATCAAGCATGGCGACATTAATAAGTATAATATTCTTATCCGAGAAGGAAAAGCTATGCTAGTTGATTTCGAGGTCTCGCAGAGGTGCAATGAGAAGCAAGAGCTCGAAGCAGAGTATGAGCAACTCGAGGCTTCACTGAGCGACACTTCACAGAGAGGCGTCCCGTATATGGATATGGGGGACGTTCAACAAGCACTTCAGCAGTAACCTATTACGGACAAGTTCCCAGACATCATTATCTACCTAAGCACTAGCGGCATCCAATGAAATTTGTTCACCGGATGGGGGCCCCTCGGTGAGCCGCATTGGTTCCCACTTGGAGCGCCAAGTTTCTCACAGACTTTGCTCATCAACCATCCAATCTACAAGGTAGTCTTGATAGCTTGACGGACATTTGGCGGATCAGTTCCTCGTGTAGTTGTGTGATCTAATAAACGCGATAATATGACCAATGTTAAGCTTTTATTGGGGTTTTATAGAAGTTTTAGTTAGTAACCGAAATTCCACGTACAACGAAAGACATGACAGACTGCAGCGATTTGCACATACCACCTGCAACCCATAGCCAATAATATAGGACAGCCTCGAGTTCAACTTTCCAATTGGTATCAACTAACCGGAATCAGCACTCTGCCACAGCAAAGCCACAGCAAAGTCCGGTTGGCTGCATGTCTGTCAAGCTACCTACCTGATACATGTTGCTTGATGAGACGTCTTAATGAAAATATCCTCCTTGACGCGCGAAATCGGAGGATGCGGGGTAGACACCTGAAGGTTTTTGGCAGAATCGCACCACGTGATTGGTGCGCGCATGTGTCATATAATTCTATCCGTAAGTTGACTCATTCTACCTTTGCATCAGCTCCAGATCGCCTAGCGGAAAAAAAATTGGTTCTTTAATCTTCAATTGATCAACGTTCTCTTTATACTCTTGATTCCCGGAAACGTGAGCTTCGACAATCCCTCAAGACTAGGCTTTGAGCCATTGTATCAGGGCCGAATAGTACAGTGATTTGATGCTATGTCGATTCAAAACCCCTCGTTCAAGAAGATTTTCGCGCGTGGTGCAGAAGGACAGCCGCAATCCGGGCAGCAAGGTAGCGCGACTTGCGCTCCAAATGAACGGACACGCGATGGGGTGGATTTTTCCTAATAAAGTCAAGACAAAAAATGCAGACATTCACTGAGGGTAACTGACCTGTATTTTTCTCCCAGACATCTCTATGGAGAAGACTAGGCATGGCTGTTCAAGGAAATCATGAGCTTTATCGAAAACTCCCTGGGAGTCTTGTTCAAAACCAGCCCTTGAATCTGGTTGGCAGTATTATAACCGTCTTCTGATGCCGGGATATGATAAACCATATCATTGTTGTTCTTTGATGGCTCGATAAGCTCATATTCCTCCAGAAATTCCTCAAGACGTAAAATATCGGCCCATACGAACCTCCAGTGGCTTGTTTGATATGAAGAACCAAGTATATAGGTTTCTGCACAGGTGACGCAACGGGCAATCAATGAACTAGGCCTGCTGAATGTTTCGAGAGGAATCAAGGCGCAAATTTACACCCACCCTTTACGGATACGCGCACCTCACCAGTAGCCAATGAAAATAGGTTAGTATTTACCGATATGAATTCCTGTACCCACCTCAGCCCTCGGTGAACCAACATTTTCTTGGCCGCTTACACTCATCCAGATTTCTTATACCTATTTGCCTCTCCCCGATTCCAACAACCAGCCAGCCGCCTTCGAGCTCAACCGTGCTAAAGCCAGCCCGGTTAGCTCAATCGGTAGAGCGTGAGACTCTTAAGAGCTACACGTTCTGAATGCAATCTCAAGGTTGCGGGTTCGACCCCCGCATTGGGCTTTTCCTATAACAAGCACTTGGTCGAGATATCAAGTCGGCTGGTTCTTTTTTTGCCCTTTTGGCCAAATTATATTATTTTACCTACTCACTTATTACTTGTCTTTCTTTGCCTCTATATAAAAAGCGCATTCTTTAATTTTTTATCTTGTGTGCTACTTACTAGATAGAGACTCTTTCTTATGCCTACTTTGTTCCTCCAAATACAACCTCGATTCTCCTGCCTGACAATCAGTGCTTGCATGTTGCTGAGTGAATGAAGCCTATCTGTCTTATCTGAAGTGCTGACGGAAGCTGTTAGAAACAACGGGACGACCAGATAACTACATACGGAACTTTGCTCGTTTGGTATAAAAGACATAGACTCATCTTGGATAGATCAATTCACAATCTCGAGCCACCGACGATCACTATATGGGTAGACAGTAGGAAGACGCAGATGTCTGACCGCTCCCAGCGGTGGCGGCGCTGGCACTTTCGGTGTTGTTGTATCCACCTAACCCATAACCAGTCCTCTTCAATCATATGGTATTGTTGGTGGTGCTACTTTTACCTTCAGCGATACTAAGTTTGGTAATGGTATTTTCTTGAGTTCTATTGGTGTACTTCACACTCTTCTTCATATCTTAGCTGCTTCGGGTAACAGTGCTCTATATACTGCTCCTACAGAAGTGTGCTACTATTGCTATCACTATGCCCGGCATAAAAGATTTGGCCGGTATTAGCGCTTTTATGAAACCCTTCTCGATGACCTCACTAAGCGCGGAATCTACTTCCAGTACCAGCCGCGTGTATTCAACAACTGTGATGACCATTTGGCCTACCGCCTCGGACCTACCGAGGGCTACTCTCCATTTCCCCAGTCAGGCCTTCAGCGTCTCTGACCAAGCCTGCTCGGATAACAGTGTCAACCCTGCTTGACGTGATGCTCTGGCTGTCTGTTTGGCACCAGCATTATGGGATAAAACGATTTTTCCTTCTAGAATACAAGTTCGCCAAGAATTTGTCGTCAGCGTTATGCAAACCCATGATTGAGGCTGTTACTACCGGCGATAGTGTTCATCTAAACGAAACCACCTATCAGCAGAAGAACTGGCGATAGGGGTTCCACGTTCTAATTATCGCAAGCTTCTTCAAATTAGATAGAAGTACCACCCAAGTACCCCTTTTCTCTGCCTGCTAACTACGGTTGATGGCCATCTCACAATGACTTACAGATGCTTGGATTACCTCGTGGGCGTTTCATTATACTTCTGTTACGTAAAGGAAGAATTGTATACCTTCATGCCCAATATTGTACTGATCCACTAGGCCGCGAAGATAGCTTTGTATATCTGCATCATTCAATCCCTACAGAGGGCTTTAGTCCAACTGTAAGGAAGGCAAATACTTTTTTTAGGAGCCTTAGCGACTGACTGAGCACTGATTTGCGCCGAGGGCGTTGCCTTTCGCATCTAATCTGTTACAGCTGACAGATCTAACTACAAATACACTGGTTCCAAGGTCGAGGATCTACATGCGAACAGCACTGCTAAGACATCCTCCATCGTGAGAGTTGGCGCCGTAAACTCTGCCCCCCATTTTCCTATTGCGTAAAGTCGATCCGTCATTCTTTCTTGCAATCGGAGATTCCTGTCGCCGTCTGGCAACTGGAGTATAAAGCGAGACAGCAAGATTCTTCGGGCGTCGGGTTTCAGTTTTTGATGAAAGGGTTTTCTTTCGGCGGGTATACGCGGACAGCGCCTCTCCCAACTCTCGGCCAAATGTATGCACCATGCCCATGAGTATTCTGTCAACTCGGTCTTCTCCTCCGGGAGGTAGGTATAATAATCTCGGATCAATGTCCCACTGCATCCATCCTTATTATGGAATGAAATCTTCATCTTTTTAGTAGGATACATTTCAGCTAGAATAGCCTTATCACTATCCAAGTACTATAAGTAAGTAGTTGAGTCTTTCGAGAGAAGTATACTCAACTTTCTTTCCTATGCCACACACATACAGAGCTGGAAAATACTAGAAAAGAGTAACACCCCCATCGTATAGGATGGTGCTGCCTGTACAGGTGGAAGAAAAGCTTCGCCGACCTGGTTCACTCAGATGCTGGTTGCCGTAACCCTTCAACATTCACCCGAAGCAGACACAAAGTTGCGTTTTGGCATGGCTTCTAGAAGCCAAACTGACGGGTGAGGTGAGACATTAAATTAACTGAGATACCACAACCGATGATGCCAATTGACTTGTAAGATGAAATAAGAAAGTGTAAGGATGGCGAAGGGATTTATATGATGGACCTGGCCACACAATGACATGGTAACTCTTCAACTCTTTTCAACTCTCTCAATATCCAGTCTAGATCATTATCAGTCCGTTATGACTTTCTTCGTATTTGCCGTAGCGATACAGAATCCGTTTATTTCTGCAGTCATCATCAATAATAGATGGCATCTACACAGAGGCGATAATATCCCACGCTCGTTCTTCTGCCTCAATGTGTAGTCTAACCATTTGTTTGGACCAAGGCTTCATACTCAGAATAACATGGATAGGCTTCCAACAAGCCACCAATGAGCTTAGCCCATGTGCTTAATAAGCGCCCGGTTAGCTCAATCGGTAGAGCGTGAGACTCTTAGCAGCACACGTTCTGATGCAATCTCAAGGTTGCGGGTTCGACCCCCGCATTGGGCTTTTCCTATAACAAGCACATGGGCGAGATATCGAGGTATTTTTTGGGGGCTTTTTTTTTTTATCTGTGTGTAAATGTTTTGTTGGCTTTTGGAGATTGGAGGGGCCCATTGGCGTATTACATACAGCTGGGGAAATGTGTGCTGCGTGGACAACTAACTGGTTTCTCTTCCCGAAGTTTGGATAACTTGACTTTTTTGCTCTTGGATGGGCGAAGGGAATTAATTATTATCTTGCGCCATATGAAGCAGTTGATATTGGTACATATCATAACAACCTGTGTTTCGTGTAGAATATAAGCAAGCCAAAGTGTGCACATGATTGATTATGACTCGTTGATCTCCTGATCTCTATTTGATTGTACGCTCAAGTAAAACGGCGCCTGTTATGGCAGGGCATTCCAACTACAACTTTGTCCCATCAATTGGGCAGTTTGGTGTAGCCAATTCAAACGCCTTTCTTTACAATATTAGGGAGCAACTTGAATACTTATCATGTTCAAGAATTGGTAGTATCTACGTGTGTTGGAATGCCTCTACGTCTCTGCATTAAACGCCTTTTGTGCGCTGAGCTAAGCAATTTACAGGTAGTAATGCATGTGGTGTGATTCCTCTCAATGACGGCACTGCCGTGTCTTATATCAAGGCTCCGCAAAGAA